AAAATAACAAATGGAGCGACCACAGTACCAAACTCATTATTTTGAAACAAGGAGCTGGTTATTTCTAAATAACAACTCCTGCTTTCTATAAGGAATAACACTTATTTCGAAATAGTTATTTTGAAATAGCAGTAGTGTGGACGCTCCACTGCTGCTATATCAAAATACAGTAAACTTCTGATAATCCGGCACCTTTGGGACCCAGGGGGTGCCGGATTATTGGATATGCCGGAGTACTGCAAGGGGGACTATGAGGGATATGGGGGGGGTGGGGAACTGCACAGCGTGGGCAGCACTCCAGCCGCTCTGCCCCCGGCTTCCCCAAGTCTGCCACTGGTCAGTTTCAGCAGCGGCAGACCGGTGGCTGCCGGGTTGTTCCCGCAGCGCCACTCAGGTGAGGGGCGGTGCTGTGGGACCAATCCGGCAGCACCCCAGCTGCTCTGCCCCGGGCTTCCCCAAGTCTGCCGCTGGTCAATTTCAGCAGCACTGGACTTGGGGAAGCCGGGGGCAGAGCAGCTTCAATTGTCCGGCTCGCCAGAGCACTTCCGGGTTCCAGTTGATGCCGGACTATCGGGAGTGCCGGACCACTGGATGCCGAACAACTGGAGTTTTACTGTAACCACTCCCCAGAGTCATTCAAGTAATTAATCCCCAGTAATTCCTGGGGCTCAGAGTTGAGGTAGCACATCCACATTAAGGGAACCTACCTCAGACTAATTTCGAAGCTTCCCTGTAGTGTGGACACGCTATTTTGAAATAGTTATTTCAGGAGTTATTATTTCGAAATAAACTTATTTTGAAATAATTTCGTAGTGTAGACATGCCCTAGAATTTTCTAAATTTGCCATCCCAAATATATACTGTTTAGATATGAGAACCTGGAAGTCTCTAGTCTAAGGTTTGAAAAGTGGGGTTGTGTTGATATATAACTTTTGGCAAGAAACCATCTTTAAATATAGAATATTTTCAGTCAACACCTCAATTGCTTATATCGCCTATTCAGAAACTTGCCTTTCTAAAGACAGCAGGGAGAACGTAAATTGCAAGAATTTCAATTTTAGATAAGAAACTTACTTTTATCCTTCTGCGACTAAAGACTATCATTGAAGGAGGGCTGGTTGAGAGATGCATTAATTTTAAGAGAGTGACAAAAAGCTTTGCCAAAGTGTGTGTCAAGTCTAACTGCTGACTAGAGACAATATTGTTTATAACAAATACAGACAAGCTCCACCAGGCTGTGTCTTTTTGAGGGTGCACCTCACGAGCTCTCAGAAGTTAAATACTTGTCAAAATGGTAACAGAATAGAATGCATTTGAATGAAGCTGGACAGAAGATATTTTGAAACAAGTTACTTCTTGATACTCCCCAAGGACAAAATGAGACAAGAACATATGCACTATCATTCTGTTCTTTCAAAATAAACATTCTAAATCTGATTCCTTCCAAGATATATAACTCCACTTTGGGCATGAACATTAGGCCCTCTTTTAACATACCAGCTCTTCAGAATCTATGCTATGGCTCAGTGATGGAGCGGGGGACTTGAGGGACTCTAGGGGAGAGAGGGGCTGGCTTTCAATGGCACATAACTTTCACTTAATTTGGCAACAACAGATATAGCTGGACTCCATCTTCTCTCCTCTCCTGATCCACTACTGAAATGGATAGCTTCAAAGGGTCAAGGTGGGTTGTGAGATAGGGATGTTAAATATTGGTTAACTGAATAGTCGAGTAACCTCATGAATTCTTATCAGTTAGTCGACTATTCTATAGTCCCCGGGGGCGGGACCAGCAGCCGCTGTATTAGAGGCAGATCGCAGGGTGTCATGCATGAGTTTGTCCACCAGGGGAGCCAGTTTAAAAACCAGCTTCCCTTGTGGACTGGCTGCCTGTTGCCCGGTGCTGCTGCCTCTGGTAAACAGGCTGGAGCATGGCGTGGTAGCAGCCCCTGTCTAAGGTGGGTCTGAGCTCCCGGACCCAGCATGAGCCGAAACTGAGACAGACTGACTGACTACCTGACTCCTAATACACTTTAAATGCAGAGCTGCAGCAGGAGTAGGTTCTGGCTGTTGGCCAGGCTGCTAAAAAATTTACTAGCAAGGGTCAGGGGAGGGAAATGTGTGTAGTCTATAGCATTCACCTATACGCTTTTTGCTTATCTGTTAATCAACTATACTATTACATCCCTATTGTGATGCCTAGGCTCAATATTCCCTCCACATATTGGATGCAAGACAGGAATTCCCTTTGAAAAAGCTACTGAAGTTGCCATGGGAAATGGCCACTTTCAGGCCTGGAAGAACAAGCAGAGGAGAGTAGTATTTTTGGCAAGGTCATGAAACTAATGTTTACTGCCTAAATATAACCAATGTTTGACCTTCAGCAAGTTATTTCCCCTCTCTATTTCTTAGTTTCACCATTCATTAAATAGGATAATGATACTTACCTACTTTGCAAAGCACTTTAAGTTCTACTGATGTAGATCTTAAAGCACTATATAAGACAGAGGTGGACAATAAAAAAACAGCGTTCCTCTACCACAGGAGCCCTTTGCCACAGCAACCCTCTGCCACTATATTTACCTGCACTTCCATAGGTATTGGGCGATTGCAACTCTCATTGTTCAATGCCATGGCAGCTGCCAGAACTAGCACAGACGAGGACATTGTTTTCCGTTGCTCCCATTGGCTGTAAATGGCGATTCACAGCCATTGAGAGTTATGATCGCCCAATACCTGTGGAAGCGCAGGTAGATATAGAGGTGGGGGCCTGCCAGTAATTAATCCTGTGGACCGGACCCAGCCCATGGGCCAGAATTTGCCCACCTCTGATGTAAGAACTATGAGATATTGCAATACTACAGCGTATAGGGTCAGATTAAAAGCCTAAAGATTGTGGGGCAGACTAGTGAGATGATTCTTTGGGTTACACTCAAAGTATAATTTACTCTCTTTATAAAAAAAAAAAGTGTCTCTGTGTTGGCAAATGACATATTTAAATCTGCCCAGTCTCCTATTAAAGAAGGGAAATACAGCTGCATTTTGATTTCAGTCCTAGCAATCATTCTGCATTAGTTCACCTTTTCCAGGCTCTCTCTTAAAGAAGAGAGCTGTGGGCTCACTTTTAAAAACGAAAACTGAGATTTTCTTTTAAAGGGATCAAAAGTTCTTTCTATTAACAAGGAGTCGGTGTAAACCCTCACCCACATACCAATGATGTAGAAATAGATCCATCTTGCTTTGGTCTAAATCAGAGTGGAGAGGGTCTGACTTAAGGTTTCTAGTATCTAGCTTTCTCTGCCAAGGTACTAGCTGTTAAAAAAACTTCTTTTTGAAAAAATAACAGATGGAGAAAAATAATGAAAAGATTAAAGAGAAAGATCAACCAGCTTGTTCTAGAGAAAAATGAATACTGAATGGTGGTTGGTAGGGCTGGCCCAGTGTAAGTATGAAGTGAATATTTATTTTTGAAACTGTTTCTTTCTGTTCTGCAGTGATAGCTATGGTGTAATTTACAGAACATGAACAGATAAATACCTAAGTATTCCTTCTGTCAGAATAAATGTAAGAAACAGTGAAGCTATTTTATGGAATGAGATAGTCAAATCATTACAAGCCTCCACCCAAAACATGAACCACATGCAAGAGCAGCCCGAAGTTGAGCTATGTGGGTGGAAGGGTTTTGCTGCAGAATAAAGGAAAATACATGAGACTGGATACTGCTTCCTGGATAAAGTGTGTCTGTGAGAAAAAGCACCCAGAAACAGACAGAAGAAAGCCAAGCAAGCAGCAAGAAAAGCACTGCAAACATGGCCATGACAGAAAGCAAAGAGATGGGAGGATTTGGGAAGCATGCTGACAGGAAAGAGGGTTTGAACTGTGAACAATGAAAACTGCCTCTTGTTGGACTCTGATTAGCAAAAACTCACAGAGCATCCACACCTTAAGCATGTTTTTACATAAAAATGCATCCACACCTTAAGCATGTTTTTACATTAAAAAAAAAATCAAAAGAACAGGCATTTTTGCGCAATAGTTATTCCTCTTTCTACAAGAAATAATTCCTTTTTGCTCAAGAGTTCTTGCACAAAAAGGTGAGTGTGGACAGGCAACAGGGCTTTTTTTGTGCAAAAACAGGAAAGAGGAAAAATCACAGGTGCTCTGGTGGCCATTCTGTGGATAGCTATTTCTTTTGAGAGAGCGTCCTTGCAGTGTGGACGCTCTCTTGTGCAAAAGTGCATCACTTTTTAGATACACTTTTGCAGTGTGGACGCTTTCTTGCGCCAGAAGTTTTTGCGGAAGATCTCTTCTGCAAAAAGCTTATTGCACAAGAAGCTTGTAGTCTAGACATAGCCCAGGGAAGCAAGATTTGGCATACATTCTTTGCAAATAAAACATGACTGCAGCTAAGAAATACCTGGATTGCTCATAAATTCCTAAAGTAGACAACCTTCAAGTAACTATTATATTTTGACCTATTTTGATCAGTATCACCATACCCATGTTTCAGGAAAGACAATACTGGTCCTCTACTTGATAAAATAACTCCCTTCTTTTCATGTGCTATTATATTTATGCCTGCCTCTATAATTTCTACTCCAGTGCATCTGACAAAGTGAGTCTGCCCATAAAAGCTTATGCCAAAATCAATCTGTTAATCTTTAAGTTGCCACAGGACTTCTCATTGGTTTTGCAGATACAGACTAAAATGGCTACCCCTCTGATAAATTTTACCTTTGGTTTTGAAAAATAACAGATGCTTGACTGCTACCAGTATTGCAAAAAAAGAGAAAAAGGACAATCAAAGCTTGAAGCTATGTAAAAATCATTTGAGTATCAACCAAAGGACAAGCTCTTTCACATGTATGCAATAAACATTTGGCGATGCATTATTCACAGGCATGTGGCTTGGCACATCAAATATGCATTTCATTTAAAAATGAATGATAATAGAGATTTATACAGATTGATAATGAAATTATCCATAGTAACAAACATACCAGTGTTTTCTACATCAACTGTTTGTGATGTCTCTGTTGTCAATTTCTGAAGGGCCTGTTCACCATCTGTCTCCTCCAGTGAGCTGTTATGTTGAGACTGCTGCTGTTCTTCAACTTCAGCAATAAATGAAATTACACCTAAAACAAATAGGTAACAGATGTTATATTAACCAGAACATTAGTTTATAAAATTGTCTTCCAGACTTATATTAATGTGCTGCAGTTCTGAAGAATAGAATATGTGACAAATCCTAAATTTCAGGTGTCAGCTGTCTAACTATAATTGATTGTGATAAAGAAAACATCTTTGATGAGCTCAAGGAAATGAACCCTCCTTCCAAATTATTTTTTTCTTTCTTCAGAAAGAAAATTATTTTAGCAGCTTAAACAAAATAATTAAAAGCCAGTAATAAGGAATATAGCTTAATTATCAAATATGGATAAGAGCTTTTTATTGACTTCCCAATTTCATTTTCATGTATAGCTGAGAGTGTTGATGAACTCCATGATTTTTTTTAAATCACCGACCACAGTAATCTGTTTTTATGGTTGCCATCCCATATACCTAGATTTAATTTTCCTGAGTAGTTTTGTAACATACGTTTTAATCATACGTTTTGGGGATTAAACGTGTTTTGTAATAGAATATTCAGTGGCTAATAAATAACCAGAGACTACAAAGTTATCCTTTATTTACTGCACTGGAAAATGCCCTGTTCAATTAAAAATAAAGAATTTCATTTAATCTTGAAAGTACAAGCTTCAATACATACATGGTCGCTTTAATCAGTATTGATGACACTAAACATTTTAAAGAGCAGCTTGAACATAGATTTTGTTACTTGCATTAGGTGCCTCTAAATATACATTTTAATCAACACATCTTGAAAAAAAGATATTTCTCTACTAATTGACTTTTGTTCCGGTAATTTCCTAGATTCAAGAGACACTTAAAGCTGAAACAAGTCTACTTGTTGCACTTTTAGGTTCTGCACCAATTTTTCAACTTTTGATTTGACATATCAATCAGCATACAGTATAAGGTTTTAAACTAGGTTTTATGTTTGCTTCTTGTACTTTCCATAAAAATGTTTATTTTGTTGCAGTTAGGCTTATTTTATAAGAACATAAGAATGGTCATACTGGGTCAATCTAGCCCAGAGAGGGAACACAACAGGTAATCCTCACATGATCCCTCTTCTTTCACCCAGACAAACAGAGGCTAGAGATACTATTCCTTCCCATCCTGGCTAACAGCCATTGGTGGACCTATCCTCCATGCATATATCTAAATCTTTTTTGAACCCTGCTCAAGTCCTAGACTTTACCCTAATCTAATCTAATCTAATCTAATCTAATCTAATCTAATCTAATCTAATCTAATCTAATCTAATCTAATCTAATCTAATCTAATCTAATCTAATCTAATCTAATCTAATCTAATCTAATCTAATCTAATCTAATCTAATCTAATCTAATCTAATCTAATCTAATCTAATCTAATCTAATCTAATCTAATCTAATCTAATCTAATCTAATCTAATCCATCTATGCAATTTGTACATCTCTCTGTCTGTGTGTCTGTTTGTGAGCCCATTTGTTCAAAAACTCCTAAATGGTAAGAGCAAGGCCCATTAAATTTGGTATGCTGCTTCCTGTTTTCCTAACTTTAAAAAAAAGATCAGGGTTTGGCTATGTCAGGACAACCAGAAGTGCCAGGAAAGGAATTGTTTTCCATAACATGGAAATAGAGAGGCTGTTCAGAGGGACGCAATACTAATTATGGCCACTTGGGGCAGCAAACCTGCAGGGGAAGGCTATCCTGCAGAGTGGCCACTGGGGGCAGCCATATCAGTGGCCAGTAGGACTGGGGTTCCACCATCTTGCCTGCCAGCACACCAGATAAGTAGACTCCCTACCCCAAAGCTTTCCCCTTGTCATGGCCAGGAGGATATGGGGAGAAAGAAAAAGTCCAAGCCCCTGCCCTGAGCCCCTTCTCACCCTCTAACCCTTGCTTTCACACCTCTCCACCCCCAGTCTCCTGCACTGCCCCTCCCCCACCATGCTGCCAAGGTCTTGCCCTGACTCCTGCACCCCCTACAATACCAGCTCTCTGCCCTGAAATACCTGACCAATGTAAGGTAAGTGTTCTAGTTAATCTATAAGACATTATGTCACTTAAGTATTCTTAGGGTTCATTTGAAATGTGTTCCACAGGAAGCATTTTTAATTGTATCTTATTAAGTGTTTGGTGCTAGGCAAATTATTCATAGTACATTTTTTATTGAGTTCTGTTATGGTGCATCTACACAGCACCTTAAACTTGAAATAAGATACGCAACTTGCGCTACAAATTGTGTATCTTATTTTATTTCTATTTTGAAATTTGGCACATCTACAATTTTGAAATAACACACTATTTCAAGACATCCCATAACCCTCATGGAACAAGAGTTACAGGGATGCTGAAATAGTGCGCCTGTTATTTCAAATGGGTGGCTTGTTAAGATGCAGAGCAGGGCTGGATTAAAGCATAGGCTAGCCGGGCAGCTGCCCGGGGTGCCAATTTATGGGGGGGGCGCCCCTTCCAGCTGCCATCAGGTGCTGCATGCCTGGCTCTCGGATGGCCACCGGGGGCGGGGGCCACGTTACCCCCCGCAGTGCCGGCCAGCAGCGCCTTTCCCCCTGCGGCTGTGGGGCCCTGCACGGCCAGGCTTGGCCCGCCCCGGGCAGCCCTGGGCTGCACGCCAGCAGTGGTAGCTGGGCTGAGCTGGGTTGGGCCAGGCACGTGCGTCCTGCTGTCGCCAGCTCCACGCGCCCTCCCCCACGCGCTGGGCAGGGGCCACATATGCACCCTCTCCCATGTGCCGGCACAGGGGCGGGGCTGCACATGCACCCTCCCCCAACCCGGGGCGCAATTCAATTGTCTGCCCAGAGCACCGGAATGGCTCAGTCCGGCCCTGATGCGGAGTAGCTATTTCGGGATACCTCTGGCATCCCAAAATAGCCATGCAGTGTAAGCATACACTGCCAATTAAGTCAATCTACCCTATATTGCTCAGGGTGTGAAATTAACTTTCCTATCCCTCTACCCCAACACAGCAATTCATGTTGGCCACACTAGTGCTATGTCGGTGAGAAATACTCTCCCGCAGACATAGCTTACTCTTCTTAGTGAAATGGAATAATTATTCCAATGAGAGATAGCTCTCTTGTTGGCATAGTGTGTCTTCACCAAATGTGCTACAGTGGCATAGCTACAATAGCGTAGCTGCACTGATGTAGCAGTTTAATGTAGACTTGCTCTCAGATACACCAATAATGATAGAAGAAAACAGAGGCCTTTTAGAGTCATAGAGTCTAAGGCCAGAAATGACCACCAATCTTCAATTCTAAACTCTTGTATATCACAGGTCACCAATACCACCTAGTACTAGCAGCTAAACCCAACAACCAAAATTATAATAAAATACTAGAGCCTACAGGAGTCTAAACTATTATGAATCAAAGACAGAGAATAGGAGGGATAAGATGCAATAGGCTCCTCACAGGAGCAAAGAAACAGCAGATACATCCAGATACTTTTAGCAATTTATGTACCCCTTTTTCCATTGTCTTTAGGTTTTCTGCTTACTCTTGGTAAGCTTTGGAGGTGGTTATTCATACAGCTGAGTTTTCAGGATTTTTTTCCTCTTGCCTGGGATACAAATTTCAGATAGAATTTCTTCAGATTAACCATAAAAAAGCTAAGCCACCTCTGCATTTTGTTCTTGAGTTAAATAAACCACTGAAAGCTAATGCCCATAATTTCCCAAAATCAAGAATCAAGAATCTCAATTGACAGTCTTAATTCTTCAATTTAATTCAGATTAAATCAATGCATGATCACTCAATCCAAGATTATTTCTTATGACCACCTTTTCTATAATGGTCTCACTATTTAGTAAGGATGTTAAGAGGCGTGTAATTGGCTAATCATATAGTCAATACAAAGACTACACAATTAGTCAATAAGGGAAGGCACTCAGTCCTGGCTTGTGCCGGGTCCAGGAGCTACCTCACTGTGGCTCTGCGGTTTAAATGTAGTACATTTAAATGTACATCTACTACATTTAAACTGCAAAGCCACAGCAGGGGTAGGTCCCAGACCCAGCATGAACCAGGCTTGCTCAGTCCCGGCTCACACCAGGTCCAGCAGCCCCTGTTTGTGGATGCAGAACAGCCTCTCCTTGTGGCAAACCTGGGCCCACTGCAGGCAAAGGTTGCTTCACAGTAGCCTCCCCTGCTTTTCGCCTGTGCTACTGACTCTACTTTTAAGCTGGCTTCCCCCAGCACCGGCTCCCACTTCCCCCACCCCCTTGTTGTCTCCCTTGCAGCAAGGGAGTGGAAAATGTGAGTAGCTGAGTAGTCCGCTCAACTACCTGGTAAGCCTAGGCTTATTGGGTAGTCGAGTCGCCTACTTGACTACTCGCATCCCTATTATTTACCAAAACAAGTGTAAAATTGCATCACTATTGTTGGTTTGGTGACAATGCTATAAAGAAAACTATCATCTAAAAAAATCCAGGAATAACTGGGCCCTATCATATTAGTAGTATTTATTCTCTAATTCACATCTTGCAAGTTAAAGTATTTTATCACAACACAAGTGTCTTTGTCTCTCATATAACATCAAAGCAAGATCTCTATGCATATCTGAATCTGACCCTGGTGTTCAAAAGCAAATCCTCAACACTATCTAATTAGGGATTCTTTTACAATCTTTCTCCAAAGTGATTTTGACCCAGAAAGATTCAATTTTGTCCAGACTATCACTTTTCTTTACTAGTCTCCTCTTCATTGATTCACCACACTACTCCATCACCTTTAGCTTTATTCCTATCTCTCTTATAGCATATATACTTCAAATCTTGTATTTCAGTCATGGGTACCGCTCTTGCATGTTTCGGTAATCCTTGTATCAGCTTTTACCTCATGCTCCAGTAGTTCTCATTTTATTGCCTGGACTTTATATGCGCAATCATTCTAGTTGTTTCTCTCAAACCTAATATGGTTTTCTAGCCAGATTAAATTTAGTCCTTTCACTAACTATAATGCCTATCTGACTCAATATCTGTATTTACTTGCTCTTTATTGTA